AAAAAGTTTTCATTAAGTTTAATAAAGATAAGAGCATGGTCTCACCTTTAACATTAAAAAAAAAAAAAAAAAAAAATAATTTTTAAAAAAGTAAACAAAATAGCTTACCCTCATCAGAAGATCAGCATTGTTTACTTTTTTCAAATTTAGACAACCTGATAGATTGCAACTATATGTTCTGTATAGTTCTAGAAATAGTCATAATACTACTTATAGAAAATCAAGTCCTAGTATTTAGTCAGTATCCAGATATAGTTATACATCAAAAAGAAAATTCTATGTAAAGTGAAGCTTTATAATTGAGATATACTAAAGTTGCATTAGTCATATAATTTTTATTACTTGACTACAACTATTTCTTGATAGAGGTAAATTGGTCAGCCTATAGAGGCTTTTCTTTTTGTTTTTCTTTTTTTATATTTTTCTTTTTTTCTTTTTATTTTCCTTTAAAATTTCTCTTTTATAATTTTGTTTTTTTTTTAGATTTAGTTTCTTTTTTTTCTTGATATTAATTCTATATTGGTAATACAGAATTTTATTTTCTTTTGCTTTTAGTAAAGGAAGAAAAACTAAAAGGATTAGTTCTTGATAGGCCAACAAGGTCTTATAACTAATTTTTCAAGTTAGTATAACAGGTCACTTCTGGGTATAGTCTATATAGCCAGGAGATATCAGATCTGCAATTTGAAGAAAACAAATATTATTTGGTATATTAATTTACAGTTAAATAAAGTTTTGTATTTGGGCTTTGACAAGACTATTAAAAAGCTAAAAAAATAAAAAAACAACTATATTCTAAGAACTTTCTTTTATGTATAACATAAGACTCATTATATTAAATTAAAATATTAAATAATAAAAACTTCATTAAGTTAAATTTATATAATAATTTTAATGTACATTTTTAACTTTTAAACTATTTATATTTCATTATATTATATAATATTATAGTTTGCATAATATAATATGCATAATGAGCATAGTATTCTCTAATCACAGCAAGAGTAATAATTGAGTAAATTATCAATTTTATTATTAATTTTTATCTAAAAAGTATCCCTTAAACTGTATTCGGGGCAAATTTGCCCTGAATTTCTGATGCCCGTCAAATTTTTCGGTTTATCTCAAAGATTTACTAATTATACCTTCCCTTATAGTTTGTACCACAATGAACATATATATATGTACAATACTTAAATTGATGTAATATGACGTAAAGTTTAATACGGAAGGCTAAATTAACTTCTGAAATGTATATTCATTAAATGTAAAAATTGATATTTTTTGATTTCTAATCAATTTTCTTGCATCAAACTAAAAAAAAATGTCTCGTGCTGCTGCTAGCACCAGTAATATTATTGATAACAACGCTTCTGAAGATGAATTCATTATTTCTGATGACCATGATTCCTTGAATTCACAATACTTTGTTAATTTTGTACGCAACAAACATAAAGAGACAATTATTGATCATATGATTGATAATGATGATATGGACGAAGAAGATTTATTTGTAATACAAGAGGAGAATAGTACTACGGATTCTGAGTATGAACCAAGTTCAGAAACAACTCATAAGCGAAGTAAAAAAAGTAGGGCAGAAGGGAGGGCAAAAAATGCCAACAAACGAATGAAAAAAGGCAAAGAAATCGAATCAAATAAAGGCAAAGAAATTGAATCAAATAAAATACCAACTCTTCTGGAACCACCAATATTTGAGCCCATGGAAAATATTTATGAACTTCACAAAAGTTATACTACACTACCGCCTGAAATGGAACGTGGTACTATTAGTCCACTTATATTGTTCTGTCTATTTTTTTCTGATTATTATCTAAAATTGATTGTTAATCATACTAATGAATATGAAAAAATTAAACGAGTAGAAGGGTCTAAAGGTGGTCGGGCTTGGACATTATTAACTTTAAAAGAATTAAAAATTTGGATTTCTTTGATAATTTATATGGGAATTCATAAGATTTATTGTGTTGAAGACTTATGGAATTCGGATGAGCGAAAATCTATCCATAGCATCAATTAATTTATGTCTATGCTCAGATTTCAACAAATAAAGCGGTTTCTTCATATTTCTAATTCGCACAAGGCAAATTTATATTGGTACTCTAAGGTAGAACCTTTAGCATCTCATTTACGAAATTCTTTTAAAAAATTTTATATTCCTAGCTCTCAAGTTTCTGTAGATGAGATGATGGTTCGTTTCTCTGGTTGGAGCATACATACTATTTAAATTAAAAATAAACCAATACCTGAAGGATATAAGATCTTCTCACTTTGTGATGCCGGATATACCTATACATTTGTCTTTAGTTCACGGGTTGAAAATGATACACAATTAGAATTAATTGATAGTATTAATAAAGCCGGATGTATTGTATGGCACTTGTCAAATCAACTTCCTCGCAATAAAACTTTCCATATTTATATGGACAACTACTTTTCAAGTATTCCTCTTTTTAACTATTTGCGTGAAAACAATTTTGGTGCTTGTAGAACCGTTAGAACTAATTCGTCTAAATTTCCTAAAGAACTGAAAATTAATAAATCTCATTCATTAGATTGGAATATGCTTAGTGGAATAGTAACAAATAATGTGTTAGCTATATTATGGGTCGACAATGGACCTGTAACAATGCTCACAACAATTCATAAAATAGTAGGTGATGAATGGAAAGTTATACGTAATAGAAGACATCCTCGTAAAACTAGCAGTAATGCAAATAAAGTGCATCAAATTTTTGGTAATATGTCACGAAAAGAACTAGCTATTCCACGTGTAATCGATAATTATAATAATTATATGGGTGGTGTTGATCTTGCAGATCAACTTCGAGGTTACTATAATTGTCAATTAACTGTGCGTCATACCTGGTTTCCATTATTTTTTTGGTTATTGGATACAGTTCTGGTAAATTGTTCTATCCTTTATTGTAAAGCTACAAATACAAAAACTGCAAACAAGGATTTTAGAATTACTATTGTATGGGATTTAATTCAGGAAGCTTTGGATGATGAAAGTAATAGAAATAAAAGAATAACTCGAAGTCAATTAATACAAAAAAATATATCAAAATCACCTCCAAAATCTAAGCGAATTGCTTATGTTACTCAAAATTTTAATTTACCTGTAAGCCGGTTTTTACCAGGAAATCATTTAGTTGAGTAGAGAAAAAAAAGAGAATCATGTTTGTATTGTCGTTATTTAATGAAAAATAATCAAAAAAATAATAAGAAAAATAACAAAAAAAAAAAAGTAGTGCCATTTCTCAAACTCAATTTTGGTGCATTAAATGCAATATACCATTATGTTGTTCTAAGGCAAGGCCTAATTGTTTTAAGGATTTTCATAGCAAAAAATAAATAAAGTTATTAAATATTGGTTTTTAATTAGTTTTTTTAATTAATTTACAGTATTAATTAATTTTTTTATAATTTTAATAATATAAAAATTGGTTTATAAAATTCAGGGCAAATTTGCCCCGAATTTGTTTACAGTTTAAGGGATAAAAAGAAAAATGCTAAAAAATTGGTTGAATTAGAAGCAATTTACAAAGCAACCAGTGATCTTCAGCTCAAAAATGATATATTATATCAAATTCTTGATATAAAATAGATAATTAAAGAAGAAACAAAAAAATTAATATTTTAAAATGTAATATAGCTTATCAAGCAAAATCAAATGCAAAAAAAATTAAAAAGACTTCATAAAAATCAGGAAGTTGTAGTATATGATAGCCCTGGTCGACTACCTCTTCTTTTTGATTAGCTAGATCTTCATGAGCATATATACAATTGTATTGAGTTTGGAAAGGCATATAGCAAACAAAGGCATGAAATTATTAAAGTAAGAACAATTAGCCATCTTCGTTCAGCACTAGAAATAAAGTATAATGAATATCTTTCAAGAATGACACTTAATAATTATCTTTTGCTCTAAAACTTCTCAATTATTGCCACAAGGGTGCACCACTATTCTGTCTTAATAGCTATTTTAAATGTTTTTAGATCAGAAAAAAAAGAACACACTAATGAGCACTATTGCCTTGCTTCAGTTAAAGGTATTAGACAATTCACTACAATGTTTCTCTATTATTCTGTTGTCATCTCACAAGATGACAAAGTGAAGGTTCTACTTGGAATCTCTGCTGTTAGCAAAACCTTTCAAATAATGCAAACAATTAATGAAACTGTCACCCTTGCTGATCAAGATTTTCCTATAGAAGCTTATCAAAAACTTATTCTCTCCATATATCTTGCTATTAATCTTTCAGATTCTAATGATATACTTTGCAAAGGCCAGTTGAATATTTTTGTTTGTCTCTAATATATAGTAATATCAGCACAAGTTCTAATACACATATAGCAGATCTAATTAAACTTACCAACCAAGAATCCTTTACTAATATTTTTAAAAATAATAATCAGGTTAAACTGATTTGGGTTCTTCTCATTGATGGAGGCCCGATAAAAATCCTAGGTATCTAAAAAACATTTATAGATATTGTAAATTGTTTCAATTTCTTGATCTTAACTATTTTATAGTAAGAACCCACACTCTTGGCCAGTCGGCCTATAACCCTGTTGAATGGGCTATATACACACTCTTTAAAAAGTTTGCTGGTATAACTTTATCAATAGATACCTTTGGTTTTTACTTGGATAGCCAGGGTAAAGTTATTAACCAAGAACTTGCCAAAAAAAACTTTCGTCATGCTGGAGAAATCTTGTTTATACTCTGAAGCAGAGACTTAATTTTTAGAAAGAATGTTATGATCCAGTATGTTGAAGATAACCTTTCGCCATTTCAAATAAAAGACAATGAAGAAGAATAAATGACTTTTTGGAAATGGCTGAAAAGGTATATATGAATTTGTCAGTACAGCCTTGATATTCAAAAATGCGATGTTCTGACTTGTTGCTATTCTAAAAGGCATAAAGAATCTGCTGCTTTTCTTGTGAAAAATGATGGGTTTCTTCAAAAGGCTGGGATAGACATTACCTTAATCCAGTTTATGTCTTACAGTATGCTGATATATTAAAATTACCAGCATATGATGCCTATTGTCTATCTATTTCATCTGAAATACATCATCATCTCTGCTATACTTTTTGTAAAAAATATTTCCCTATACTCAAGATGGTTACAGCTTATAAAAAATCTGAACATATGAAACAAAAAAAAACATAAATATACTATACTTTCAAACTCATTTGATGATTTTAGCTTGAGTTTGACTTCAACTACATCAGAAACTAACAATTATAGCTGTGTCTCAGATGATTAGTAGTAGAATAGAGACTGTGCATATTACAAAAGAAAAAAAAAATCAGTTTTTGAAAATTTAAGTTTCTGATGACAAGAACTTGAATAAAGTAAGATAGAGTATGAAGAAAACTATATTGTATTTTATTGTCTTGGCTTGTCACTTTGTGTGTCAAATGTTTATTTTTGAATAAATTAAAATTAAATTGCAACTTAAATAAAAGATCTAAGCCAAATGGCTATATGATAAAGTTTGATGTATTTCGTACATATGTACTATTGTGTAATTTCTAGCCAATCACATTAATTATGACATGCCACATGATATATGCTAAATATTGATTGGTTAAAAGAATAATTATATAGCTGGCCAGAATTATAAACTAATGCTGGCCAAAATTAAACCTGGGATATTTTTATACCCCTCTCCTATTCTATAATATCAGCAGATATCTGACAGCTCTCTTATTGAAATGTGTGACTTCTTCTTTAATAAGCTAATGGTATGCAGTCAAAATAGTAAATATAGTTCTAAGCTAATTAAACATTATGGTAAAGGAAGGGTTACTACTAATTCTAGTCATACTTGTTGACAGTGTGTGTGAACAATTAAGCATCAATATAGATCAGATGTAGCTAGTATACCATATATACTTTGTTCTAGAAGCTACAACTAAAGTATGTAGATATATACAAATCATTATATAGCTTTATTGTCTGGAGGACACTACAGGTAGAGCAATAGTACATCCAATATCCGTATATTAGCAAATCCTAAATTCTGATTGGCTAGATCAGGTGTAGCATAAAAGATCAAAAAAAAACAATTATTTTTTTTTTATAATTGACGTTTATTGGCTAGATCAGATATAACATTAAAAAAAAATTTATAACCATATAAGCCACAAACTGGTAATATAAAATACTTATATGTATATAGTTTTCTTACCTGCATACAACTTAAATAACTAATTAGTAAAAAGTGTAAAACCTACTATTTAGATGCTTTTTGCAAAAAATTTCTGATTTTCAATACTCAATAGTATTACAAAAAAAAATTCTCATATACTAACAATTGCAAATCAGCCTGATGGGAAAAAAATTGATTTATGTACTATTCCTGGAGGAACTTAAAGGAACCACAAAGTTGATTTCTCATAACAATACTTAGTTATAATAAAGTATAACCCATGATTAATCTATCCCTTAATATGTAGACCAATGCAGGCAAATTTGCCTGCGTTTTTGCACTTTTTTAGCTCTGATTTACTTTT